TGGAGGTTGCTGTGAGCTGTGACACCACAGCACTCTACCCAGGGCAACAGCTTCAGGCTCTGTCTCAAAAAATAAATAAACAAATGTACATCCCATTTGTAATCTATTTGTAGTCCAGAAAACCTAAAATTGTAACGAAAGACACTGAGGGAATGTGTTAACACGGTGAATCCTGAACATCATGAAAGTTACAACAGAATCTGAAGAAACAGATTTAAGAAAAAGCAAATTTCTAATAGGTGCAATTATTTTTACTCATGTGATTTCTGTGGCAATAATTACTAGAAGGGAGAAAGCAGGTATGAAAAATATGCCTACAAGTTTTTTTTTTAGGAATGTTGGGGAAAATATATAAGTTGACACAGTACTCCAAGTAGAGGAAGTTGTTTCAAAAAATCAGTGGGCACTGGGTATCAGATATCCCATGGAAAAAGGACCAAAAATGGTTAAGAAGCAAAAGCACAAATCAGCAAAACATCAAGCTTGAAACTTCAACACACCCCAACTCGTCAGGAAGTTGTAAGATAAGGCTGTGTGCGCGGCTCACTCTTGAAGGGTCTCCACTTACACCCCTCAAAGCTGGTTTTATCTCTGCCTCTTGTACAGGCACATTATGAAAGAACCTTTTATTATGTGATGATAGTGCAGGAGCAAAGTCAGACATGCCTCTGAATGAACACATTTTCCTCTTGGAGAACCTGGTGAGAGAACACTGCTTCACAAGAAGTAATCTAGGGAAATGAATCATTTGCTAAAAAGTTCAGTAGCAAGTTGTCTTACTATCCTGTTGCTTACAAAAATTTGCTTGAGTATTCGAAACAGAGAAAATTAAATTTATAGAAAAATTAAATGAACATTTCAAAACAAAGGCAGCACTGTCTCATGTCAGAACACAGGCTCAGCAGAAGAACTGATCTTGGGCAAACCATGTAATAGCCAAGGGCCTCAGCTTCCTCTTATCCAAGGGAGCTGGGTAACATCATACAGATCCTTCCAGCTCTAACAACTTGAGAACACAGCACAGAAAACTCAGAATTATAAAGAAGCACCAGTTCTTCTCATATAACAATAAAAATCCCCAAACTGTAATCTCACTACCTGTAATAAACTGTACTCACATATGCAGGATTTAAGTGGCCACCACTATAAAGGGCTGCAAAATCAGGATAGTATTCAAGGATCTGGGTTACAAAAAATATATTCTGTCTTCTACGTTCAAACCACCAAATTTCAAATTATTTTAAGCTGTATGAAATAGCTTTCTTCATCCATTAAGAGAAAAGTAAATCTTAGTTATTATTTTGGGGAATAAGAATTCCAAGTTCCATGCTCTCCTCCATCACTAGGGCAGCATTCTGTCTGCAAGTCACTTCACTGCCTATGTGTGTCCAAGCCTATGGTAAGTCATGTTCACCCAAGATACTTAAAAACATACTTTTGCCACTAGGCACAGCAGACTTAGCTCTGCCAGGGCAACTATACCCTTGGGAGGAAGACTACATCTCAGGTGTGGCCCAATGATTCAAATGTAAATTATAGTCCTGACATTTTTATTTTTAACTCTTAAAGTTTTAAGCATACTTAATTACATTTAAGTACTGTTAGTTTAAACGAATTTCATGGAACAAAATTTTATGTTTTAAAAGCAGGAATACACTAGTAATGTAAATAATACTCATTCTTTTCTTTTATTTATTTATTTATTTTTTTTGAGACAGAGTTGCCCTCAGTAGAGTGCTCTGGTGTCACAGCTCACAGCAATCTCAAACTCTTGAGCTCAAGTGATTCTCTTGCCTCAGCCTCCCAAGTAGCTGGGACTACAGGCACCTGCCACAACACCCGGTTATTTTTTTTTTAAGAGTTGGGGGGTCTCACTCTGGCTCAGGCTGATCTCGAACCTGTGGGCTCATGCCGTCCACCCACCTCGGCTTCCCAGAATGCTAGGATTACAGGCGTGAGCCACTGCACCCAGCCAATTAATACTCATTTCTTGGTGATTTTGGGTTTTCATTGAATAAATGCTACTAAACTGTGGCATTTCTTTAGTCACAATCTAAAGATTTTCCACAGAGAGCAAAGTTCCAATGTTAGAACACCGTAATCACGTACACTCTTTATCCCTCAGCCATTAGTTTCTTCTCACATCTACGCATATGAGGTTACCAGGTGAATGGAGACATGGAAAAATGACTGGACCTCATTAGAATGGAAACTAATGTTTTATAGAGAAAATGGTTAGGATTCTTTCTGTTTTAATTTTTTTTAACCAGGGAAATGTCCAGAGGATTCTATTTTACATCCAAGTAGTCATTGTAGAATTCTTCAGTTGATATGTATAAAGAGCCTGTCTTTTTGTTATCATTGTTGTTTGTTTTATTAAAATCTCTTATCTAATATTAATTCCCTATTTTAACATGATCATCCCACATAAATTAAATTCATAAGATTTTGGTGCTGTATAAAAAGGCACAAAGTTGATTTTCACAGGAAGGTATTAGATCTTTCTCAGTTACAATAAAAGTAAAATATGTTCCCTTTAATTTGTTTTTTAGACATTATACAACAAACCCAAAAAACTAAATGTTTTAGCTGTCCTTGGAAAGAGAAGTTGAGAAGTCAAAGGACCTTAGCACATGTTTACTTCTTAGTGAGATGGTGAATATCAGTGAAGTAATCATTAATCATAGCTGGATTCCTCAGCAAAGATGTTGGCATTGGCACCATGGGCAGTGACTAGCAATGACTGCAAGTAACTCTAGGACACTAACGCCTATTTGATTTGGAAGAGAATAAGGAACATGATGAAGCCTGAAGTGTACTGTTCGCCTCTGCCTTTCTTCATCTTAGAGACTTGCAACATCACAAGCCCAGCTGTTAACCAGATGCAAGCACATGAACCACACAGTGTGAGAAAAAAAATTAGCATTATTTCCATGGAACTAGTCATGTGGTTATTACAGAAATACTCCGCATTAGCATACTACAATATTTGTTTTGTTCTTGAATACTGCAACACCTTAGGGAAAAAGTTATCTTTAATTGAAAAAAGGTTAAAAATGAAAGTACATGTTATATATCTTTGCTGGAAAATGGTGGGGAATGGATTTGTTAAAACCATATGGAAAGGAAGAAGGAATCAATTAAAAACAGAAATCTAATAAATCTAAAATATTTCCAAATTGAAATGCTTGTGGTAAGCTAATTTCTTGTAAACACTGCACTCAAGTCACTTGAACAGTCCCAGATGGTGAACTAACTTTGTGGTCTTAAAATAAAAGCCAGCCAAAAAAACCAAAGTGACTACAACTTTATTATCAATGTAGTGGGAAACATGAGATCCATAATCAACCAATATGTTACTTCTTTTCCTTTGTAAAATGTAAGAGATTTGTGGAGTTTTACTAAATAGACAAGTTCAGTTAAAATTTAAGTTTATATATGTTAAATGGAAAATTAAAAGTTAATGTAATACCACAGTTAAAAGATAAATCCACAGTTATTTTTATACCTTAGAAAAATAAAAACATTTCTAAAACTGCCACAGTTTTGAAATGTACTGCAAGGTCTAACACTCTAAATTACCTTACACTTTCTTCAGTTGGCATTTGTAGTATTTTATTCAAGAAAAATTTAAAAACTTTTTTTAAAGTTGGGTTATAAATGAAAGCCTGTGATTTATGCCTCAACTAAAAATTATACCTGGTGGAATAAACATCTACATTACCTGCTCCACTGTTAATAATCCATCAGAAGCTTCTGGCACAGACTGCATGGGTAGGAGCTGGCACAGTGTGCCTAAGAGCAAAGCAACTTCCTTCATACTTCTCCAACAACATACCAGCACCATCTGAGCAGTTACATCACATGTTTTTCCTTCTTTACCTTAAAAAAAAAAAAAAAAA